GGGTGTAGCCACGAAGGTGTTTGCTATCCGGAAAATGAAAACGCAATTTACAAACAAAAATACTCTTATTTTACGCACAGAGATATTACAGAAGCGTGCAGTTCCGTAGGAAGTTCTTTTTTATAAGGGGGTGGCGAGGGCCGAAGGCCCGAGGAAATTTTTCAATTTAGAGTCTCTGAAATGCCATTTCGTGGACTTTGGGGGAAGTTTTGACAGAATTCTGATGGTCAGAAAACAGTTTTAGCACGTCGAAATTTACTATTAATTTGCTTACAATTTAGAAGAATTAAATGGGCGAAGGCGTATATGGGTAATATGATTCTTTGCGGTTTGTCATGGGTAATATAGCCGCTTAAAATTAATCAATTGTCAGTATTTTAAAGATATATTGAGGGCTTCCCCCCCTCCCGTTGCTACGGCCCTGGGAAGTAATAAACCGAAATACATTTACCGATCTACGATTTGTTAAATGTTATCCATGTAAATGCCGTGATTTTGTAAATCAGTTTATGATACTGACAACACAATTTTATAATATTTTCTCTGTTTGATTACACAACTAAAATTTTGTTATACTATTACTTCCGTAATTTTCCGAATGACCAACTTAATTTTCCGAATATGTTAATTCTAAAAAAAATGGGGGGGGGGTTAACGCCCCCCCCCCAATACCCCCCTCGCTACGGCCCTAAGGGAATAAACTGAAAAGTAAAACACGGCTATAGAATACAATTCACAATTAATTTTAGCCACTAGTTGATCTTTTCAGTTGAAAATCAAGAAATGCTCAACTTGAATTTGTATTTTTCTAACGAATATATTCTTACGAGAAGTTGTCTTGGCCAGCCGGTCAAAAAAAATCAAAGTTGGGACGACATTTTTTCGACTATTGCGCTCAACAAACGTCCGAGCAAGTCGTATTTTGATTCAAAGGCCAAGAAGTAAAATATGTTTACGGCTCAGAATTATTTTAATTGAATGCCTTATCGTACAAATCGTACAAAATTATTAACATAATAACAAAAAATCATGACAAGGCCAAAATACAATTGTTGTTCATTTTTTTGCAGCTAAATAATGGTCTAACGAGGCAAAATTTAACACAAAAACATACCTCGCTTTCCAACGCTGTATATTCAATTTCTCAACTCCGACTCTTATGAAAACGTTTGGAGATAAGCACATAATTATAATCTTTACCATCAACTGAATTTCGAAGTTTGGACGACTTGATAACATGCCCAAATGCTGTTTTGAAAATTTCCCTTCATTTAAGTCCTCAAAAGCCCGACTCATTATCCTCAATATTTCTTTCAAAATTCACTGAACTATACAGGCCAAACAAGCATTCGTACGATACACTAGTTACTATTTCGTCGTTACAGTGCAAAAACATCCTCAAGAATTTCGCAGTTAATGAAAAAACAGCGAAAAGACAACAGCAGGAAAAATCACGCTCCTTGTCAACTTTTGCCGAAAAGCACGCTCGTGCCAGTCCTTTTCCGCATCACACATCGATCAGCGCGACATCAGCGCATATCACCGACCTATAAACAGGTGCGCAATTTGTCGACGCTGACCAAAAATAGCGGCTCATTTCTTCTCGAGTTGCCATTTTCCCGTCGAAGAGTGAAAAATATAGACTTTCAGAGGATATTTTAGCTGTTTACTATCAAATATGTTTATGAAACAGTTGATAATCTTACTGAGGAAGGCCAATAGTTTCTGAAAAGCTAAAGTACGTCGAAATTCAGCTTTGGAGTAGACTATATTTTCACCTGGGAAACATGAACTAAATGGATATTTACATCAACACTAGATTTTGCTCGTGCCTACAGAGCTAGTTGGATTAAAACAGATGTTAAGAAGTAAGTGAAAATGTGAATTTTGTGAATTATATTTTCATTAAAATGTTTCAGAAGGGCTGTTAATGCCAAACTACAAGTGTGACAGAGCTGTCAGTATACCCATATTTCAATGTTTATGTTGAAATGACCTATCTTCTTTGAGGTATAGCTTAAAATTTAGGGTATGCTCATCACTTGAAACTAGCTTCAAATCAAAGTTTTATCTATAGTCTTTATATTAGAATTAAAATCATTCATGGGAAAAATGTGCCAAAGGGTTGAAATTGCCCTTGTAAATGTACACTATTTTTGACATGCTTGGGTTAGTATTTTGAAAAGGTGTTCTGGAAGGGAAATATGTCTTGAACAATACTGGTTGACCCTTAAATTATAACTAGTGTTATGTAAATCACAGAAAATTGAAAAAAATCTGGTCCATACACAATATTTTGGACCCTATGAGGTCCCGAATGGGGCTTATTTCAATGTTGGATCTGTTTACCTGGAAAAACTTAGAAAATTGAATAAGTCAAGAATTTGACTATGCTCATCACCCAAAACCAGGTTTTTCTAATTGCTTTTTCACCTGGGTTTGTGGCAATGCCAGTTATGCGACCACGAAAAATGCGCGCGGCACTTTTTTTGGACACTGAAGATGGTAACATTTGATGTTGTCATATATTGCCATCCTCTTATCGTAGCATAACTTAACTTATTTTAGTGAATTTGTTAAAGAGTTGTGTTCACTATATGCTTGTAATATCTAAGATTTTTTCATAGCATTATATGATAAATTTAAGTTCTGTTTTCTTTTATTTTTAGGTGATAGTATCTATTCACTCCAATGTTGGTATCAAATTTTGGTCAAGTTTCAATTATTATTTCACATTCCTTTATTCAAATATCCAAATAAATGGAATATGACATCAAGCTGGAGGACTAGATCCTGTTTTCAAACTTGTTTTTTGTAAAAATAGAAAATAACAACTTATTCTGTGTTGTTCTAATAAAACCATTGTTTTTGATATGCATATATTTTAATTTTATTCTTTGTTAAAATGTGTACCTGAAATACTGAAATCTTTCAGATCAGCTAACAATACCTTTATAACTTATATAGCCAAGTGTTCTATCTATTTTTGTTCAGATTAAACAAATAATGGGTAAAATATTAGATAAGATTTTTTCAAAAAATATGAGCTTGCCTGTTTTCAAAGCATAAAAAGCAATAAAATAAAGCAAAAGTACTTATTTTTAATTTAAAACCTTTGGAATGCACAGCTTAATGCTTTCCACTAAATATTACAAAGTTTTCGTTCATTAAAATGTTGTTTTATCAGCTTTAAAACCAGATAAATCCACGAAACACTCCTAATATACGTCGCCATATTGATTTTCTGCGCGCATGCTCAGACAAATTGCCTACCCGTTGGTTACTACCTTTTTTATTTCAGAAACATTTTCTACAAGAAAAATAAACAAACTATCTGACAAAGTTTAAAAAAATAAACTTTTCAAAGAACATTTCGAAAAACCATGTTTATAACTTTTTTAAAATTTTGCTCTACAGACTTTTTAAAACTGGTCAGATAGTTTATTGCACTACAAGAAAATGTTTACCGAAATAAAAAATGGGGGTAACCAGGTTTTTCTTTTAATTAAGGTGGCCAGTTATACATTGTATTTTCAAAAAATTCACGTTTTTGAAATATATAAATTTGGGGGCTCCATCATATACACTTTCATGCTAGCATTATATTTTTGTCGTATCTGAGTTCCTTAGGGGTAAATTTTGCAATCAAAGTTGCCCAGCCTAGACCTAGGCCTTCTAGTCTTATTTTTCATTTTTTTTAATATTCAGCGCTTTTTCACATGTGTTAAATCCATATACTGAGACGTGTGTTTACGAGCTCCGTGAAATTTAAACTTCCTACACTAAACTTAGCGACTAAATACTCAGTAATATACCAATTTACTAGTATAACTGGTTAAGATTAGGAACGAACATATTGAAGACTTAAGAACGAAACTAATTGAATAAATCGAGCCAACAAAGCCGAACGACAATACAATGGCGACAGATGATGAAATCGGCAATCTTACAGCAAGTAATCTAGAATCAGAAGATCTAGAATTAGCAAAAGATTCCAGTGATCCCCACGATTACCTAAGCAGCGACGAGATCAATAATGAAGACGGTTTAATTGTAACAGACAAGGGAAATCTGAAATGGAATGGATCATATATGGGCCTCAAAAATTTCATTATGATGCAACAAATCTCGGCTGAACACTGGACTTCCTCTGGTGGGGACTGCAAGAAGTGTGAAGATTCCGGGCTGATAATACGGTGGTATTCATCGAAAGGTTCACTAACATTTGGGGGAGAAAAGAGCAAGGAAGTAAAAAATAAACTATTGCTATTAGCACAAAACAAAGAAGAAGTGAGAACGAAGTCAAGCTGTGATAAACAACAAGACAATTTACATACCGTACAGACAAAGCCTAATGGCCCCTTGGGCGCAGTGTTCACTCAAGCAGCCATTCAACAAAGAGACCATCCACAAAACGAATTCATAATCAAAGTGGAAAAGTTTATTGAAACAACAAACCTGAAAATCAGTAATCTTGTCTCTGAAGTCAGCGAACTTAAAATGAACAAAAGTAACAGTACTTTAACAAATAACGACGCGAGTGTTGCCAACAATGATTTGGTCAACCTGTTATCGAATGAAAACCAAGACCTAAAGAATGAAATCAAGTTACTTCGAGAGAAAAACATCAATATCACACATTCTGTGGCAGACCTAAACTCCAAGATTGAAGAATTAGAAAGCGAGAAACAAAGCCTCAAAACTGCGCTGAAGATCTTATACGCCGACTTGGAAACTGCGGAAGGAAATATGCAATCACTAACTGACAAACATGAAGCCCATGGCCAACAGCATCCATGGATTACAGTACCTGGCAAGTCGAAAGGTCACCCAATAAACCTTGAGTTAAACAACAACAACAAATACTCGGCCCTGCACGTCGAGGATGACACAGAAATTGTCATTGATAGTGACGAAACTAAAGCGTCAGTAAATTCTGCTGGGAGTAGAAATAAATACTTTCCACATCACACACCAAAAACAAAGACGACCAGAAAACTACAAGACCCGAAACCAAGCAGTACAACATCAGCTCAACAGCGAAAGATTGCTATCCTGGGAGATTCAATGATTAAAGGTATAAACTCAAGAAAACTTCAACATGGCCTTAAACAAAAAGTCATTGTAAAAACATTCCCGGGTGCGCATGTAGAAGATATGACTCATTACGTGAAGCCAACTCTAGCCTCGAATCCAGCTGAAGTCATTGTACATATCGGTACAAATGACTTGAAAAACAAGTCACCCAGTACCCTACTTAAAACGGTAGACAATCTTGGAGAAATGATTACGGAGAGTAAAGATGTTAAACTGACATTATCAGAGATTATAACCAGATGTGACGATGAAACTCTAGCGGACAAGGTAAATATTTATAATGAACTTCTAGCTAACCTTTGTACTGAGCGAAATTGGGGGTTAATTAAGAACTCTAATATAAAGAAAGATCATTTAAATAACTATGGACTCCACTTAAACCCAAGAGGTTCGACGGTCCTAGCTAAGAACTTAAACTGTATGTAAGTAATCAAAATTGACTAAATGTTAATACACAAAACCTAATGATGCAAGAACCTATTAGAAACTCCGGTGCAGTATCAACGGATAACCCAAGCAAACTATATCCAAA